ATCCACAGCCATTCTTACCAAGTGAGAGAATCTCAGTTTATAATTAGTGTCATCCACAGTATGCTCTAATAATTATGATTATCAATTTAATGACAAAGTGATGCTACATATACCAAGCTAATTTAGCCACAGGTAAGAGAGTGCGGCATTGTACTCTGGTACAGATGTGGGGCACACAAAAAGATAGCAGAATCTCAAAAAGGACAAATGAAAAGAAAAAGAAGAGAGATGTGAAACAGACTGGCATAGACAAAGAAGGCGGAGTACAGGCAAAAAGCAGGAAAAAACTTTGCAGGAAAAAACCTGCCAAGATATTCTATCTAAACTTTATTTTTACAATATATATCTTAAAACAGAAATTAAAAATGTGCTAAAAAGTGCCCAAGAAATTCTGTATCTTGGTGCCCCAAGGTGAAAGTCTGCAAGCCTTTAACAGCTTGGTAGTTCAGCCACTCCACATACAGAAATAAGCAATGTAAGATTTGGCCAGCTGTGCATATGACAACGTAGAACTGTGATTTTCACCTAAACAAATGTTTAACAGCCTTATAGAGGCTCTTAGCAGGTACACCACAATCCTTGTGAAAGCACAGCTATCTATTTCACCTCCTGTCCAGTTTGTGGAAGATACAGTTAAGAGAAAGTACTGCCAGATTTCTGCAGAAATGGTCTGCTTTAATGGAAAATTTACTTATGTACTACGTATCAGCTGCTTTGGATAGTCCAGTAAGATAAAGCTTCCAAAAGAAAAATAATCTTCTATCATGAGTTATTTTAACCCCAGAGTGGAAAACCTGAAAATAGCAGTAGGATAAAACTCTTGACAAAGAAACTACAAAAGCTTCAGAGTTTCTCTGGAAAATAGAAAGGGAGCAGTTTAGAAACACAGTAGGCAAAATAAAAGGTTTTGTACTCCAACTGAGAGTATATTTCTTAAACAATAATTTTGCTTTCCTCCTGACTTCAAAAACAGACATTCTGCAGAAGGGATAAAAACTGTAGTACATCTATTTCACTTGAGCCCATTAGAGCTTATTAATTTTCCTCTGTGAATGACCTTCCATACACCACCACAAGGCTGACCGATAGAAGATCCAGAGGAACAGGTGCTATAAAATGAACTAACCAGGCAAATAGAACAGAACTTTGATTTCTAAATAGATGGAAACTCTGATGGCAAAAGAAGTCACTTCCAACTTTATTTGTGGGGGAAAAAACATATAAATTCTGGTTCCATGAGGTTTTCTACATTTTCTGTTTTTGTTTGATTTTGATATTCCTAATGATGGCCGATTCCTGCTTCCTATAAATCAGCAGTAATAACTATTATTTCAGCATTGTGCCCCTGTGTCGACATGACCACCAACGTGGCCATAAAGCTCTAGCTGTAGTAGCTTGAAGGACCAAGGCTTTAAGACCCATGAAGCTACCTGTTGTGTAATGAGCACAAGATTAATATTTATCTACAGAACCTGAACAAAATCAACTTTCAGCATTTGGCATGACTTAAAACACTACTTGCTAAGACAGGCATCTAGATGATTAATTTCTGGAGAACACAACCTATATAAAGGTAAAAATTCATAAACCTTATGGTTTCAGAAATAATATATCACAGCTCTGACCCTTCAGGCACTTGTTATTAAAGCTACTCAGATACATAGGTGTTTACTGACTTTGTATGTTGAAATGTGAACTGACAGGAACTTAAACATAGCTTTTAAAGAGCCAGTCCCTTTCTGCACTGCATACAGGTTTCCTGAGCAGCAGAGGAGGAAAAGGAAATAGATTTAGACAAGCTTAGAGCAGCTATTTGAAAATCTATGCACAGAAAACTTATTTTAATTCTGATACAGATTTGGAAAGTTTAGTGGCAGCATTTAGGCACTGTGGTGAGTAAAGAGATACAATGCTGACACCCATCACCCATGCCAAAGTACTCTAGAGACAGGCAGTGCCAAGAAAGGGAAAGCAACTGTTTCTCCCTTTAGCTAGCAGCAGGTAGAAGAATATTTCATATATCATATACCTCCTAGCAACACACGGCACTTAAAGAAGCCCTGAAAAAAGACCATACTCAAAACATGTTAGAAGTCTCCAAAATATCCTCTTCCTTAGCAAGTGTGGCATTTTGTAACTCTGGCTTTGCCTTCTTCATCCAACATAACATGCTCACAGTCATGTCCAAGCTGGGGCACGTCTAGTTCTCCTTTAGATCTGATAGGCAAGTGCAACAAACTGTGGGAAGAAAAGAAGTTTGGATTGTCTCATGGAGTAAAAATACATACAGCATATTTTAAAGGAATTATGACATTTCATCTTCAAATGATGTATTATAAATTATTTCATCTAATAATAAAAAATTAATTATTCCGTGTCTAGGCTCACCCAACAGTCTTGTCCAATTGCTGGTATCAAACATGAAACAATAATTCAAATTCCTCCATATCACCACAACTCTTGCCAGGCCTTTCCACTTACAGATAAAAGTTTCCTTTCCCCTCAGTAAAGATGAAATCTCTCTCTTAAGCAAGCAGATCTTAAGCAAGATCTCCCTTTCTGCCTTTTCTTTAAAGGGTTGTCACAGGAGAAGGACAAGGTACGTTATTAACCCGTTCCCAACCCATGTGGAAGTTTGCACATTTCATTATGTCTGCTCTTTTTCTCTAAAAATGAGAAATTTCACAACAGAAAGAACCACTAAGTGTAAATCTGCAAAATCCCCTTTGCCAGTTGAGCTACCAGTCCTTCTAATCAGGGCCTGGGGAAAGTGACGAAAGAAATACAATAAAACTCCCTTTCAGGTAGTTTTTTTCTGAAAGCCACTAAGATCTGGATCTAGCAAAAGGCTCTGTCAAGATGGAAGAATCAAACCTCCTGTAATTAATTACAGGGAAGGAGTCCCTGTCTCTTACTTTATCGGTTTAGATGATATGAAAAATTAAGCACTAGTCATGCCCCAGTAAAGTCATTACCCCCCTTTTTTGACAGAAAAGGGACAAAGAGGAAACCATCTTAAAACCAAATTCTCTTTTACATATGAAGGAAGTCTAGTTAGCTACCAGACCCATACATCTCTACAGACTTTTTTTCCCCCACAAAACAAACACGTAGCTGTTTTCCACTTGCTAGCTCCCCTTTCCATATTTGAAAAGGTATTATATGCTGTCAGGGGCCTTGTGCTCTGCAATGAATGGATTTGATTCCTTTAGCAAATATAAAAGTTTCGTTTCGTTTCCATCTCGTGAAACACCTGTACAACACTACAAGTGCCTTAGCCAAAACCTTTCTTCTATCCTCTTTAAAAGGCAGCAGGTTATCTTCTTGTAGTGTTATTTGGATAACAAGGAAGGAAAGAGACAGAAGACTACCTCCAAACAGTATTTCAGAAGATACTAAATCAGGCACTTGAAATTTTAGTGAAAAAAATTATTCAAGCTCAAACTGAAATTATGACGTATTCAAAGTGAACTCAGTACTCACAAAAGCTATACAGCAGAAAAGAAAAAATCTATCTTCCACTGCAAGAGCCAGCAAAATTACAAGCTGCTTAGCCAACGATCAGCTCTCATACTAAACTGCTTACGTGAGGGCTTGTGAGTCCGAGGCCTTAAGCAACCAAAAGCTAGCTGCCTTTGATCACTAGGTCCTCCAGGAGCCCGTGAGGACACCGACACGTCCTACAAGCACAGAGGATGACACGAAAGCTTTTCACTCCTGCAAACTAAGCATCAGTCAGACAGTAGCGCTCAGAGCTTTTGAGTTGTGACCAATTTGAAGTAGTACCTTGGGGCTAAAGGCTGGCATGGTCTCACTGCCATCTTACCAAGTTTCCAAAACTGTGACTTCAGGCTAGAACTACTCAGACAGGTGGATGCTCGACTGCTGTGCTGCAGAGAAGACAGTATGTCGTTAATAATATTAAAAGACAAGCACCAGGCCTGCAATTCTGCCTCGTTTCATAGTAGTCTTCAGCAATCAAGTAACTGAGCTTGTCCATCTGGAACCAGTCAGTGCCCGACACGGCCTTTCCGCAGACGGCCCTCCCGAGACGGCCCGGCTCGGGTGGGAACGCATCAGGGGCAGAAGGGAGGTGGCAAGAGCACAGCTCACAGAAAAACGGGACCGTCGGGGTGTGTGTGTGGGGGGGGCAAATTACTTACAATAAAACCCAAGAAAAATGGGATGGAAGAAAAACTGCTTTTTCTGAAAAAAGCGACTCTGGCGTGTGAGAAGGCTCTGGGTCAGGAAGATCCGTGCCATCCCGTTCCCAACCGCACAGCACCGCGCTCTGTTCCTCTCGCAGCCCCCGCCGCCCCGGCCGAGGGCAGACCTCTCCCGCAGCTCCCCTCTGCCAGACACCCACCGGTGCCACCTCCGTGCCGGACCCCGCACACCACCGGAGGGCTCCAGCCGCCCCCCGGCCGAGGTGAGGACACTTTTCTTTCTTTCTTTCCTTCTCTCCTCAGGGACGGGTCCCTGCTGGCTGCCCCCGGGCCCCTCACGC